TTATTTATTTATTTTAATTTGGACCTCAGGTATGAAATTATTTATGATTGTCTTCTTATCAGGACAGAAGCTATTTCAAATGTTTCTTTGATCCCTACTATTTACCACAGTGCACAGTGTCTGGAATGAAACAGAAGAAGGAGGGAGAGAAGGAAGGAAGGAGGGAGGGAGGGAAGGAAGGAAGGAGGAAGGGAGGAAGGAAGGAAGGAGGAAGGGAGTGAGAGAGGAGGAAGGAAGGAAAGGTATTAAATAACCAGCCCTATTTCTAGCAGGTGTTGAATAAACATTAGATGCAGCAATTTTTGGATCCTACCTGTCAGAGGCAGATTCAAACCAGAACAAGTACCATATTATTCTGCAAACAATAGATTCTCCACTGATGGGATCCGAGTGGACCAAATGAATATGAGCCTGATCAAAACATAGCCGTGCAGTGTTAGCATTCTGAGGAAATGACGTAAAGCCAAATAGAAGCTCTGCCAATAGGCCTCCTTTTCCCCGTACCTCTCAGCTTGTCCTTGGCAATTCACTCTTAGAAGCTTCCTTCTTTACTCCCATCATTTGTTACAGGGCTAGAGAGAATTCCCTTGTTTTTGCTGGTTCGCCATTCTTCATGGAATCCTGCACTTGTAAGCCAGTGCCCTGCCCCACTGGTTTGGTCAAGCCAAGTCTTACGCTTGCGCTCCAGGGACATCACGTGAGGATGATTAATATTATCTCAGTGGAACACTGACGCTGTAAGGCTGGGAAAGCCTGTACAACTCTCCTGCCGCTCTATCACTGCTCTCCTTCTTCCCTGACAGTCTGGTGCTGTCTTTGTGGCTGGCATTCATTTATTCACTCATTTATTCACAAAAACATTTACTGAGGACCCATTATACATATGTGCCAGTAAATGCATGACCATCTCTCATCTGGATTATTATGATAGCCTCCTAACTGGTCTTCCTGCTTCCACCCTTGTCCGTCTACAGTCTCTTTCCCACACAGATGCCTGAGAATCTTTTTCTAAAACTAACTTATATAATGCCACTCCTCTGTTCATACCCTCTGATGGCTTTCCCATTTTGCTACAGTAAAAGCCAGTCTTCACCATGGCCTATAAAAGGATCTGGGCTTCTGCTGCCCCTCTGACCTCATCTCCCACCCGAATGTCTCTCCCAATCTGCTCCAGCCACACTAGTTTGCTGCTGTGCCTCCCTCAGGCCAACCACTCCTGCCTCAGGACCTTTGCACATACTGATCTGTCTTTCTAGACTGCTTCCCCAAGACTTCTACAAGGCTGGCTTCCTTCAGAGCTCTGCTCAGACAATATCTTCTCAGTGACATCTTCTCTGATCACCCTCTACAAAAGGCACATACACCTCCCTTTCCATTCCCCATCCTTTTGTTTTTCTTCCATGGCCTTACCATCATGTGTCTATTATACCTTCTCGTCTATTTGTTTGTCTCTCCCCACTAGAATATAAGCTATACCAGGGCAGAGGCTGTTTTCTTTACTGCTGTACCCCCAGTGCCTAGAACAGCTCCTGGCCCACAGTGGGTGGATGAACGTGCTATAAGTACTGCGTTGCATGCTGGGTATAAAGAGGTGGAGAAGAAAAGATCCTTTAGATCCTTGCCTTTTGAGAAATTCATAATTGGGTGGCAGGAGAAGAGACATTTGTAAACAGATCCTTGCACTGTCACAATTGTGGGGGTGCTGAATGGAAGGCTGGGGCAGCACTGGTGAGGGTCTAGGAGAATCAGAAAAGCCTTCCCAGAGGAGTGACAGTTGAGCCGGTCTTGGAGGATGAGTAAGAGGTGACTGGGCAGAGTGGGAGGGGAGGCCCCTCAGGCCCGTCACTCCCCTTGTCCCTCTGCTCCAGTCTCAGTGGCTGGTGGCTGTCCTCAATCCCGAGTTGCAGGGAGTGACATGCTTATGAGCAGGAAGAGCTCAGATAAGAGTCTTGATTTTATATGCTGCTGACCCAGCTTGGGTCATGAGCTTTCTGGATCCGATCATTGAGCCAGGGAGACGGAATGGTCTCTGTGACCAGGCTTGGTCACACGCTCCCCTGGAGAAGCAGAGAGGGATCCACTCCTTTCAATCACAGGAACTGGGCCTGGGGAAAGGATGTTCCCGGAAGGAGAATTTAGGTGCTATTTCCACAAGGGGAAATGAATGCCAGGCTGGCAAAACAACACATTCACCTTATTTGTCCTTTTTCTCCACTTTTGTATTTTCACATCCCCAGTAGCCAAATTGTTTGTTCTGTTCTCAGTTTCCTTGTACTCAGGACCTATCCCAAACAACAGGTCGGAACCCTTGTTCTGTGTCCAGGCCAGGGAGATACCGCCGGACACCAGGACTGTGTGCGTGTGGTGTGGTGGGGGAGCACCAGGCTCACTGTGCAGGAAGAGGGAGTGTGCGGTGCAGTCATTGCAGCTGCTGCACAGTGATAGGACCCAGAGTCCTAACGGATAGGGTTTCAGGCATAGACTGTGTTAAATAGGCTCTATAGTTATCACCACTGACAAGATTATTTCTTCAGGAACAAGACCTTATATTCACAACAACCAGCTTATAATGAACTATTGTAAGAAGGAAACTGTTTGTTTACTGTCTTCGTCTGTCCAGGCTGCTATAACAAAATACCACAGGCTGGGTGGCTTATAAACAATAGGCATTTTATTCTCATAGCTCTGGAGGCTAGGAGTTGAGATCAGGGTGCTAGGATGATCAGATGAGGGCACTCTTCTGGGTTGCAGACTTCCCACTGTATCTTCACATGGAGAAAGGGGCTAAGGATCTCTCTGGGGTCTTTTACAAGGGCGCTAACCCCATTCGTGACGGCTCTGCCTTCATGAATGAATCACCTCCCAAAGACCCCATCTCCTAATGCCATCGCCTTGGGCATTAGGTTTTCAACATATGAATTTTGGGGGGACACAAACATTCACTCTGTAGCACTTATCCCGATAAAGCCCTTTGGTTTGCTGCTCAAACGCTCCTCTGTCCTTTAACTGTAGAATGATCAACCATCTGGGTTTGCTTGGGATGGAGGGAGTTCCAAAAACATGGAACTTACAGTTTTAAGACAGGGACAATCCTGGCAAAGCAGAGACATGAAAAACAAACAAAAAAATAGTTTTTTTAGGACTTTTGGAATTGTAGAGACTTCGGGCATGTACTTACAAACTGCTTTGATAAAGAACTGTACTGCATCCTATCAAAAGGGAGCCTGCACCTGAGTGCTGCAGGGACAAAGGATTAGAATTACCTGTTCCTTAGGTAATTCTACCTTGACAGGATACTAAGCAAAAGTTAGTTAACAACTAACTAAAAGTTAATAACCTACTTATTTTTAAATGTGTTCCTAATTATGCCCTCCTCTCTTTTGTTGTTAATCTCTAATATAAGGTATTTCATCTGTTGATGTAGAACACATAGAGGAAACTGTATAAAACCAAAGACTCAGATCAATGAATTATCACAAAGTGAGGACAGCCACTTAATCACCACCCAAAGAAACAGTGTTTAATGGAAAACGAACATCCAACTACAGAAGAATTTTCTTTTTGCTCTCTGAGACATTAATTCTCTACACCTGAAGCCTGTACGTTCCTTGAGTTACCTAAACCGATGCCTGCTAGTAGCTACTGGAATTCCAGGTGTAGCATCAAAAGAAAATAATCTGACTTCTGGTGAGCCTTGCAAATACAAATTGCTTTTTAGCAATGGAAAATGTTACATAATTAGCATTTAAAAATAAATGTTTTTAATAAACACAAGAGTATATATATGACTGTGTACATATTTCCCTTCTTTCTTTTGGAAACTACTCCTATGCATTTACTTGGCTACATTAGCTGGTCTTGATTCCAGTTTGCGTGAAGGTGAAAGAAATGTAGGTGGAAGGCCCTACATTACCAGTGATGCATCGTTATAAATGTTGCAGAAATCATGGTGGCAGCTACACTGTACAAGTCTGACTTTTTTTAGATGATTTCCTTTTTAAATAGCAAGAAACTAAGGCCCTCTGACTGTCGTATATCGCAGGCTAAGGAGAGCCCTGGACGTCCTGCGTGGGCACAAACCAGTTAAGTTGAGCACTCACTGAAATTGCGTTCTCAGCCAGGAAGGAAGATGACTGATCACAAGTCCAACTGTTCACTTGTTAGACTGGCAGAGTTTACAGGTAAATCTCGCCCAAGGCCATTGACACTCCATTTCGCTGTCTGAAATACTTCAAGTAGTTAAGTGAGGGGCGGAAAGCCACTTAATTGTTTGCACTGGGTGATCGTCCAACCGGGCCTTGCGTTGGTCTACGCCTATGGTATAGAGGTAGGAAAGGCAAATTGGTCTTCATATGCATGGCTGAAGATTGGAAGTATGCCTAAACCAGTGGTTTTCAACCCCGGTGGACTTTAGAAATTGCCGGGGAGTTTAAAAAACAAAAAGAGATCCAGAGGCTTAGAACTCGCCCAAGACCAATCACCCCGAATCTCTGGAGGTGGAGCCTCGGCATCAAGCAGATTTAATCAGCTAATTCTACTCTGCAGCTATGGCTGACACCACTGAGCAAATAGTTCGAATCGGTAGCAACGCCTCCTCTCTTGAGGAAAGCTTCCAGGACTCAAAGCCCCCGCAGAAGCGTTGTCCCGGAGCCTGCGGGAATTTCAGCTCGCAGGTCCGGGTCCCAGGGGCAGAACTCGAGCAACTGGTTAGCAAAACTGGTTAACTGGTTAGCAAACACGCCATGTGAGCCCAGCACCAAGGCTGAAGTACAGGGACTCTGACAAGGCTCAAAGAGGACTAGCCGCCCACCTCGGAGCCCCTGGAAGGCTAGACGCCGCCCGCGCTAACCAAGGCCGAGAGCTGAGGGAGCAGGCGCGGTCCGAGGACGAGGGCGGAAGCGCATGCGCGGACCGAGGCAGAGCGCTGAGGCGCTTGCGCGGCAGTGGGGGCGGTGCTTCCGGCCGGCCGTGGTGGTACGCGGGGGGCGGGAACTGGGCCGCGACCACTACCCCGGATTGCGACCGCGACTCCGACTGCGACCCGGGTCGCGACCCCCACCCGTCCCACCGGCATGGCCCGGCACGTGTTCCTGACGGGGCCCCCAGGTAACCCCGCAGGGGCTCAGCCTCCGGAGGCCGAGAGTGTGAGCGTGGTGGGCGTGTGGAGGGGGCGGTCCGTGCTCTGGGGGAGGGCGGCCGGCTCCAGGGCTCGGGCTGCTGGCCTCTAAAATCCCGAGTTCGGTGACAGGCTTGGTAGTTTGAAGCCCACGTATCGTTTCCCAGAAAACGTGGTTGTAAGTACATAAGTTAGATAGGATTGGAAATGAAGCCAGCTGTGGTAAGAAAGAGAACGAGTTCGTGATGTGGTCGCATATGGGCTGCTTTATTAAGGCATTAAATCCCACGGTCTAGCGGCGGCGATAACAGCTACTGTCGTTTTGATGTTGCGATGTGCACAAACGAAGTTTCGGGATATCTGCCGCGACCGTGATTGATAGGAAGGTGTTTGATGTCTGTTGATAGGCACACGTGGTGCCCTGTGACTCTGGCCTGCATAGACAACAAAAGGAAGGGCGGAATCGCAGAAGGATAGTGAAATTAAAGATGTAACCTTTTTTTCCCACGTCCACGCTCAGTGTCCCCTGAATTCCCTCCATGGATGAGGCTGCAGGTTGAGAAGCCTTGATACTTAGAGGAACTCCTTCTCAGTGTCAGATCCTTTGTCTGTGCCTGTCCCCTCTAATGCCTGCCATTGGGCAAATCCCTCAACCCTACGGGACTATGTGAATGGGACAGTGTGTGTTCAAATGAGAGACTAGAGGAGGAGATAGATGCCTTTTAAACCAAGGTGCTGCACGTGTATCCGGGGTGACTAAAAGGAGAGGCAGGAAGGTGGTGGCAGCATCAGATAGCCTAAGAAGAAAGATGGACTTAGAGGGGAGAAAGTGATTTTTTCAGTTCCTTTGCAAGGTGGGTCTAATTTTCAAGTTAACTGTGAGTTTAAATATCAAAGATTGTAACCCTGGGCATGGAATTCTCTTTCACTTTATTTTAGTGATCATGTTTAGCCTTAAGTAGCAAAGGCTACACTTAATATTGCAGACTTTGGAATTTTATTTTTACCAGGCACTGGGAGGGGTGAGGAGGAGGGTGGTTTGAGAAATTTCTAATATCCAAATGTACTCCCTAATATTGCAGAGGACTGTCTTTTGAAAGCTGATTTGTCACTCCTTTATTTGAAACTTGGAATGCCGTTTTCTCAGCAGGCTGGCCCTAAGACATCTATGTGTTTCATAACAGAGGTGACCTATTACTGTGACTGTATCTGCCTGAGTCCTGGAGGTGGCTGGGAACAGAGGCTGGCCAGACCAGCACTGGTTCTTCTCTCCATTTTCTTCTTTATAAAAGTTTTATGTACACATAGTTGAAAGACTCAGAGGATTCTACAGTATGGCTCTCTTAAGCCTGTCCTTAAACCCCCACACCTTCTCTTTCTCCCCATCTTCCTAATGCAGTTATAATGTGATTTGGATTAGCTCAGTAGTCAGTGTTTCCAGTATTATGACTATGTAAAAGCTAATCTGTAGTTTCTTTTCCTTTTATACACAACTTTTTTCTCCTTTGTAGTCTGTTGTTGAGTGGGGTGTGTGTGTGTGTTTAATTTTCTTGGTATCTGTCACAAACTCAGTCGCAAACTTTGCCTGCTGTCTAGATCTTCTCTGTGTACTGAGACCATCAGGTAATGTATCTTCTCAAAAGAGGTCACTTTTTGCTGTATATGCTCTCAATGCTCCACCCATGTCTTCTTGGCACTTAGCTTTTTTCCCGACTTCCAGCTGTCCAGCCCATGACCCATCTTGGAGGGCTTTCTCTGGTCACTGGAGCCTGCTCTGCCTGCACAGAGGGCAGACCTGAAGGGCCAGGGAATTCCTGTCCCCCAGGAGCAGCCTCCAACCCATGCTAGATGGAAGTTAGTGGATAAAGTCCCTACTTCCTCACCCTCAGACAGGATACTTCTGAGCCATGTGTCTCCTAGGATTCCCCAGTGGGGTTAAGCTCCAGCTACCCGCAGTGGTAACGGAGCTTGATAATGCAATTACCTCCCTACCGGCGGGTCTTGGGATCACTTCCCAAGTTAAACTACTTACACTTGAATCTTGATCTCAGGGTTGGCTTTATGGGAGAACCAGATCCAAAATAATTCTGGAGCTGTCTGACCTCTTCTTGTCTGCCTATGGTGTGGGGCTGTCATTTTGGGGTCTCCTTAAGCACAGGCCACTTCTTAACCGGTGTAGACAGCACTAGCGTAGCAGCTTAATTAATGGAGATGAAAAATAAACTGAAAGAAGATTTCTAGAAGTGAAGAGGAGAAAAGGGACTTGAGCCAAGTGCCTCTTCTTGCCTTACTATGTCCTACCTACCATACAGGACACAGAGTGTCCCTTTTATTACAGATGCTCCATTTTATCTTTTTCAAAATTTAAACAGTTTTGTTTTTTCTTACAATAAGAGTAATACCTACTCACTATAAGACCGAAAAAAAAAAAATCAAGAAAGTTTTAAAGAAGAAAGTGACAATCATGTGGAATTCCAACATACAGAAATAAGTGCTGTAAACCTTTCCGTATTCTTCTTGGTGTTTTCTTCTGTAGACACATAGATACTTGACTTTAAAAAAAAAAAGCATAATGGAATAATACTATGTTTGTCTGCTGTTTCTTAACCTGCTTTTTCTCCATTTATTTTCATATAATTGTGGTCTGTTTTCTGTACTAATAAATATAGGTAAACAGTATTCTCTTTAATGGCTACATGGTATTCCTGTGTATTTATGTGTCATTATATACATGATGCCATAATTTAACATTCCCTTACTGAGCAACATTTAATAACATTATCAATGTTTTGCTATTATAAGGAAGGCTGGAGTGAACATCCTGTTTCACGTATCTTTGTTGTCAGATTCTTTACTGAGGATGAATTCCTAGCCATAGAATTGCTGTGTGCTGTGGTAGGCACATTAAAGTTACCCTTCAGAAAAGTACCAGCTTAATGTAGCCACCAGTGCCACTTGCCTTCATTAAGCAGATTCTTCAGTGACTTTCCTAAATCAGCAATTACTGAGGGACAGAGCTGGGATTAGAACACTTCACAGTTCTCTTACTAGCCGCAGTGAGCATGTGGCTGGGATCCTCTTAGGTTGCTGTTCCGAAAGACCAGATGCCTTTGTTTGTTAGTGTGAAGTTTGGAGGAGAGATTTATTAAATAAGAAGAAGGGATCATATTTTATCTCAAGGAAGCTGAAAGGTCTTCTTGGGGAACCCTAATTACTCTGGGGGCAGCCATAGAAATAATATGTTTTGCAACCCTGTGTATGGTATCTCAGGATAGCTCTATTGCAGACCTGCTAGAAGTTTTCCCTGTCTTTCCATTTTTGGGCGATCATAATGTCACTGACTTAAATCTTTATGGGAATAAGGCTCATATAAACAAAGTCATGGTGACAGATAAAGGCACCTATTAAAATGTATGGTCCTTACTAGTTGTGTAACCTTAGATAAGTTACCTAACCCCTCTGTGCCTCTGTTTCTTCATCTGTAAAGCAGGGAGAAGGATGGTAACTGACTCAGAGGGTGGTTGTGAGGCTTTAACCAAGAAAATGCTTGTGAAGTGTGCTAGAACAGTGCCTGGCTCCCTAATGTCAGTGATTAATATTATATTGTGTAGCGCCTGTTGGTGCTTGTAAAACACACAAGAATTAATTAGAGTGGTCAACAGCCCATGCTGGGAGGAAAGGAAGGGGTCAGAGGTATGAAGGTGCATAGGTTATAATTTGGGAAGGGCTCGGGGCAAGTCAAAGGAATGCTTAGGCACACTGGAGGAGGTGATGGAAGGGGTTGCCAATCTGATAGGATTGCTTTTGTGGAAAAATTTAAAAATTACCATTTCTAGTGGTGTTAGTGGTATTTAAGAGACAAATTTTCAGGAGACATAGCAATGTGAGTCCGTGGAGGTGTGAAGTGGTTTGCCCACTTTTAAAGGTAGGTTCAGAGTGTCTTGAAGGTTGACATCCTAGTTTAAAGTGCCCAGCCTTTGACTCAAGCGAGGCTGGTTTTACTTCCTAGGTGATAAAATGTGGCCATCCAAGGGGAGAGGAAACCTAGGAGAAAATAGAAGCTTGTCTCATAGGATGCAAATCACACTTGAGACTGTCATCAGAAAACCACTCAGTTGGTTCTAGGATTGTGTATGTGACAAAATTAATAATGTTTCAGAATTTAAAAATAAACTTGATGGTACTATTCATATTTTTATTATGCTTATTTCTACGTGAAATTAAAGTATTAACATCTGGAGCAATCAAAATTCTAGTGAAGCTGATATCCATAAAATCCCTTTGCTGCCCATTTCTCTCCCCACCACGATTGCTCTGAGTCAGCGAGTGCTGTGTGTGTTCCAGCAAGGGAGTGGTTCTTAATAGACTTTTTTTTTTTTTTTTTTTTGTAGGAGTTGGAAAAACAACATTGATCCAGAAAGTCAGTGAGATTTTAAAGTCCTCTGGCGTGTCCGTTGATGGATTTTATACAGAAGAAGTCAGACAGGGAGGGAGAAGAATAGGATTCGATGTCGTCACATTATCCGGCACACGGGGACCTTTATCTCGAGTTGGGTACTGATATTTCATTTCTCTGGTGTTTTATTCTCCCTGGCACAGGGTTGAGCTAAATGATCTCTTCTGTCTTGAAGAATCTGGGGCCTTTATGGATTTCTGAGAGAAAGAAAACAGAGATTGAAACCATCATATGAAAAACAAAGTATAAAAATAATCATATTTCACTTAAGACTAACTCCACTGAGTAACAAGCTCTTCTCGCTTTGTAATTCATAGCCCAGTTTCTAGTGCTACTTTTCAAAAATAGTTGGCGCACTAGCTCCGTGGAGCTTCAGGAGTGGCCCCGCCAAGGTAACTGCCATGCCCGTTGGTGGTGGTGGTGCGCACACTTAGTGGTAGTCCTGCCCTCGGGAGAGAGCATGGAATCAGATCAGCTTTGCACACCACCACTTTTTATGTAGGTGATTTTTAAGGTTGATTTAGCATATATGGAAGGCCAGAGACTCAGTGGAGCAGCTAAAACCCAGAAAGCAATATAGGGGTCTTTCAACAAAGAACATACTGTCTTTTCATTCAGGTCAGAGCCTCCACCTGGAAAACGTGAATGCCGAGTTGGGCAGTATGTGGTAGATCTGACTTCCTTCGAGCAGTTGGCGCTTCCGGTCTTGAGGAATGTGAGTGTGTGGTTTCTGCTTCTTGAGGCCATCTATTCTTAGTGCATTGCTGCCGGCCTTGGGAACAGAGAGGCTTTGGCTCTTAAGGAGAGGTCAGTTTTACATTTTACAGTTTAAAAGTCTTTGAGTGATTAAGCCTTAGTAAGGATATGAAACATAATTTGCTGTCACTCTGAACTACAAGTAAATTCTTTGTCACCTAAATTCAGCACATATAAATATTTTATATTGGGAGGGCTGTAATGTCCAGCTACCAAGATCCCCAAAGATGTCTTTCCTCTGTCTTCCCCTTGTTTGTATCTTAACCTTGTTTTCACAGCACAACAAATAAACATTTAGGAAGGGAAAGTATTATATGAACATAATGGTAAGCACCTAACACATTATATCACTGAGATGTAATTCTCATACTAAACTATTCACCCATTTAAAATGTGTAATTCAATTTTTTCTAGTATAGTCACAGGATTGTGGAACTAATTATCACAATCTAATTTTAGAACATTTTTGTCATCCCCAAAAGAAACCCCATACCCATTCAGCAGTCATTCTTCATTCCTTTGTCCCCCCAGCCCCTGTCAATCACTACCCTACTTTCTTTGTAGATTTGGCTATTCTGAACATTTCCTAAAAAGAGAATCATGCAATATGTGGTCTTTTGTAACCAGCTTATTTCACTTAGCATAATGTTTACAAGGTTCATCCATAGCGTAACATATATCAGTACTTCATTCTTTTTTATGGCTGAATAATATTCCATTATATGGATATACCACATTTTATTCTTCAGTTGATGGACATTTGGATAGGTTTCCATTTTTGGCTATTATGAATAATGCTGCTCTGAACATTCATGTACAAGTTTTTGGGTAGACATTTGTTTTCAATTCTCTTGGGTATATACTTAGAAGTAGAAATACTGGATCATATGGTAATTCTATATATTAACTTTTTGAGGTGTTACCAGACTGTTTTCCAAATCAGCTGCACCATTTTACATTCCAACCAGCAATGGATGAGGATTCTGATTTCTCCACATCCTTGCCAAGGTCTATTATCTGTCTTTTAAGTTTTATCCATTCTGGTATGTGTGAAGCAGTATCACATTGTGGTTCTAATTTGCATTTCCCTAATGACTAGTGATGTTGAGCATCTTTTCATGTGCTTATTGGCCATTTGTGTATGTTCTTTGGAGAAATGTCTATTCATTTCCTTTGCCCACTTTTCAGTTGGCTTAGTTATCTTTTTTTTCCTTTTGGTGAGGAAGATTTGCCTTGAGCTAACATCTGTTACCACTCTTCCTCTTCCTTTTTTTCTTTTTTTTTCTTGAGGAAGATCAGCCCTGAGCTAACATCCATGCCAGTCTGCCTCTGTTTTGTATGTGGGTCGCCGCACCAGCCTGGCTGACGAGTGGTAGCTCCGTGTCCGGAATCTAAACCCGCAAACCCAGGCCACTGAAGCGGAACACGCCAAACTTAACTACTATGCCACAGGGCCGGCCCCAATTGGCTTAGTTGTCTTTGTATTACTGAGTTGCAAGATTTCTTTATAAGTTCTAGATATCAGTCTGTTATCAGATATATGATTTGCAAGTATCTTCTTCCATTCTATAGTCGTTTTCACTTTCTTGATGGTATCCTTTGAAGCACAAATGTTTTTGATTTTGAAAAGTCCAATTTATCTATTTTTCTTGTGTTATTTGTGCTTTGGGTGTTTTGTCAAAGAAGGCTTTGCGTAATGCAATTTCACAAAGGTTTACTCCTTTGTATTCTTCTAGGAGTTTTATAGTTTTGCTGTTACATTTAGGCCTGGCCTGTGGTCTACTTTGAATTAATTTTTGTATGTGGTATGAGGTATGGATCCAAATTCATTCTTTTACATATAAATATCCAGTTGTTTCAGCATCGTTTGTTGAAAAGACTATTCTTTCCCATTTAATTATCTTGGCACTCTTGTTGAAATCAGTTGACCATAAATATAAGGATTAATTTGGACTCTCATTCTAGTCCACTTATCCTTATTTCAGTACCACGCTGTCCTGATTACTGAAGCAAGGATTTTGATAGGGATAGAATTGAATTTGTAGATCAATTTGGGGAGTATTGCCATCTTAACAATATTAAATCTTTTTTTTTTTGGTGAGGAAAAAACAAAAACTCAGCTAACACGCTGAGCTCTTAGCTCAGCCCTGAGCTAACATCCATGCCAATCCTCCTCTTTTTGCTGAGGAAGACTGGCCCTGAGCTAACATCTGTGCCTATCTTCCTCCACTTTATGTGGGACGCCGCCACAGGATGGCGTGACAAGCAGTGCATCAGTGTGCACCCAGGATCCGAACCCGGGCCGCCAGCAGCAGAGCACGCACACTTAACTGCTGTGCCACAGGGCCGGCCCCAACAATATTAAATCTTTTGATCCATGAATATGAGATGTCTTTTCATTTACTTAGGTCTTCTTTAATTTCTTTCAACAATGTTGTTTTATAGTTTCCAGCATATAAGTTTTATACTTCTTTTTAAAAAATTTATACCTTAGTATTTTATACTTTTTGATGCTGTTGTAAATGGAATTGTTTTCTTAATTTCATTTTTGGAATGTTCATTACTAATGTATAGAAATGCAATTGATTTTTATATATTGATCTTGTATATTGCAACCTTGCTGAACTCATTTATTAGTTCTAATAGTGTTTTAGTGAATTCCTTAAAATTTTCTATATACAAAATCATATTATCTGCAAGTAAAGATAGTTTTACTTCTTCCTTTCCACTTTGGATGCCTTTTATTTCATTTTCTTGCCTAATTGTCCTGGCTAGAACCTCCAGTACAATGTTGAATAGAAGTGGCGAGAGTGGACATCTTTGTCTCGTTCCTGATCTTAGGAAGAAAACAGTCCGTCTTTCACCGTTAGGTACGATGTTAGCTGTGGGTTATTTGTAGATGGCCATCATCAAGTTGAGGAAGTTCCTTTCTATTCCTAGTTTGTTGGATGTTTTACAATGAAGAAATGTTGGATTTTGTCACATCCTTTTTTTGCACATACAGAGGAGATTATATGATGTTTGTTCTTTATAATATTATTATAGTATATTACAGTAATTGATATTTGGATGTTAAACCAACCTTGCTTTCTTGAAATAAATACCTCTTGGTTGGGGTGTATAATGCTTTTATATGTTTCTGAATTGCGTTTGCTAGTATTTTGTTGAGGCTTTGTGCATCTATATTCATAAGGGATATGGTCTGTAGCTTTCTTTCCTTGTGATATCTTTGTCTAGTTTTGGTATCAGGGTGATACTGGTATCGTAGAATGAGTTAGGAAGTTTTCCTTCCTCTTCTAATTTTTGGAAGTTTATGAAGGATTGGTTTTAATTTTTCTCTGAATTTTGATAGAATTCATCAGTGAAGCAATGTGAGCCTGGGCTTTTCTTCATAGGAAGCTTTTTAATTATGAATTCAATTTCTTTACTTGTTACAGGTCTGCTGATTTTTTATTTCTTGTTGAATCACTTGTGGTAATTTGTGTCTTTAAGTAATTTGTCCATTTCATCTAAGTTATCTAATTTGTTGGTATATAGTGGTTCGTATATTCCCCTATAATCCTTTTTATTTTGTAAGCTCTATAGTATTTTATGTTCTTTCATGCATTATTTTAGTTATTGAAGTCTTCTCTCTTTTTTTGGCCAGTCTAGATGAAGGTTTGTAATTTAGATGATCTTTTTTTTTCCCTCAACCTTTTAAAAGTTATTTTATTGACATCATATTGGCTTATAACATTGTGTAAATTTTAGGTGTACATGATTATATTTCAGTTTCTGTACAGACTGCATCATGTTCATCACCAATAGTCTGATTTTTATCCATCACCATACATATGTGCCCTTTTACCCCTTTCGCCCTCCCCCCAACCCATTCCTCTCTGGTAGCCACCAGTCTGTTCTGGTTATCTGTATGTTTGTTTATCTTCTGCATATGAGTGAAATCATGATATTTGTCTTTCCCTGTCTGCCTTATTTTGCTTAGCATAATACCCTCAAGGTCCATCCATGCTGTTGCAAGTGGCACGATTTTTCTTTTTTCATGGCCGAGTAGTATTCCATTGTGTATATATATATATATACCACATCTTCTTTATCCTTTCATCTGTTGATGGGCACTTGTGTTGCTTCCACATCTTGGCTATTGTGAATGATGCTGTGATGAACACAGGGGTTCATGTATCTTTTTGAATTATTGATTTCATGTTCTTTGGATAAATACCCAGTGATAGAATGGCTAGATCATGTAGTATTTCTGTTTTTAATTTTTTGAGAAATCCCTCATACTGTTTTCCATAGTGGCTGTACCAGTTTGCATTCCCACTAGCAGTGTATCAGGGTTCCCTGTTCTCCACATCTTCTCCAACACTGGTTATTTCCTGTCTTCTTAATAATAGCCATTTGGTTGAGTGTGAAGTGATATCTCATTGTAGTTTTTATTTGCATTTCCCTAATGATTAGTGACGTTGAACATCTTTTCATGTGCGTGTTGGCCATCTGTATATCTTCTTCAGAAAAATGTCTGTTCATATCCTCTACCCATGTTTTGATTGAGTTATTTTTTTGTTGTTAAGTTGTATGAGTTCTTTATATATTTTGGAAATGAACCCCTTGTCGGATATATGACTTGCAAATATTAATCTCCCAGTTGGTGGGTTGTCTTTTTGTTTGATTGATGGTTTCCTTTGCCTTGCAGCTTTTTAGTCTGATGTGGACCCATTTGTTTATTTTTTGTTTTGTTTCCCTTGCATGAGGAGACATGGTATTCGAAAAGGTACTGCTAAGACTGATGTCAAAGAGCATACTGCCTGTGTTTTTTGTGTGTGTGTGTGTGAGGAAGATCAGCCCTGAGCTAACATCTGATGCCAGTCCTCCTCTCTTTTCTGAGGAAGACTGGCCCTGAGCTAACATCATGCCCATCTTCCTCTACTTTATATGGGACGCCGCCACAGCATGGCTCAA